GGCTGCAGTGGTCACTACAACAGTCTTTATTTTTGTAAAAATAATATATATAATATATATATGTATATATATATATATAAAAATTTTGCACATTAAAAATATAAATTTTATGTTTAATTTTTTAGCTTGCCATTCATTTGTTTAGATTGTCTTTAGATTGTCACACTTATTAAATTTCAGATTGTTTTATGGATTTTCATACCTAAAGAAAATCCGTAAAGCAATAAAATCTATTCATAAAATGCTCTTGAAAAATTGTTGATGAAAGACATGGTAAAATGTTTCCAATATAGTTTTACAGTAATGCAACCTTCACCTAATGCATGTCTTTGCATGTTTCTGTTGAAGTTAAAAGTTAATTTACTTAAAATCTACAGTTTCCACTTATCATTCAAATATTTTACATTTTTGCAGCTCCTCGTTTTTGACAAGGGGGTAATCCATCAGCCGGAAGTTGAAGCTGCCTCCGGGGGCCGCCATTGTAGCTGGCTATCACCTGCTGTTAGCATCCCATTGACTCCCATTCATTTTGGCATCACTTTGACAGCCAATAACTTTACATCTGAGGCGTCCAAAGACAGCCCTAAAGAAAGAGGACAATGTATAAAAGGCTCCATTACTTTGTATCTTACGTTATGGCCCCGTAGAAGCCATTCTTGTAAAAATAGGCTAACGATTGCGTCATAACCACGGGACACTCTGTCGCACAGTAGAGAAATTACCGTATAGACAGAAGTAGAAGCTCGTAGGCAATCGTTTACTGTCTATGAGGCAATCGGGTGGACATGGAGGCATAAAGTCAAGGGAGAAGCCCATAGATAGAGAGTTCATAAAAGCAACGGGACAAAATATTTCAACAACAGATTTGTTTCAGATTTCAATTCAGATTTGTCCCGGCACAGCTTCTAGAAGGTCAGAACGGTTGCTCACGTGACAACTACGTCGTCAAGCTCAGTTTGAGCCTGCGCAGTGCGCTTGGCTTTCAGGAAGTGAGTGCCCATGTTGGTCTTCAACTCTCTCCGTTGAAATCAACGGGGTCGCTGTGTCCATTTCTTTTACTGTCTATGGTTTTTGAGTCTGCCTCGAAATGCTCTGTTCAGTTCCTGTTTCGATGAAGCACCTCCTTCTGAAATACGAAATGTGCTCTGATTGGTTTGCTGGCCAAGTGTGTTGTGATTGGCGAACTGCTTAGAGCCTGTTCCATAAATGTCACGCCCCTTAACATAACCGCGAGTTTCATCTGCTCAGGTTTAAATGGCCTCAATTTTGCCAAACCAATTCAAGCCTGATTCAGACCTTGAGAATGTTGACGAATAAGAGGAGTGTGCAGAACCTCAGAGAGGTAAGTTCTTAAGCATCTGTAAACAGTCTTGCAAAAGCGAGAGCCCTGTAGCTTAACGCTATATAAACACTTTAATGTTATCTAGCAGGCTAGAGGAGCCAAACAACTTTGCCCTTTGTTTACATAGCAGCAACAATATAAAACTTACAATTGGAACTGTTAAAAAAAGAAAACAACAGCAAATTTACAGGCTGTGATCCAAACAAAATGGGAACTGTAAAGGGGTAAACTGTAAAGTGTCTTTCAGGAGAAGCTTTTGTGCGTAGCCAGCATTGTCCGTTAAATGTGCAGAACACAGATATACGTTGTGGTTATAATGTTCAGGAACAGTGTTAAAAATACATTTTAACCACTGTTTACTAAGTTCGTCTGCCTTAGGAAGGTAAAAAAAGGGGTTTTGGAACCAGGCTGGAAAACACAGTGTCTCGTCCCCCTCTTTTTTAGCGTATTCCTCTGGCAGGGATTATTTAAATGAGTGACATTGCGACTTCACAAGATCCGAAAGAAGCGTGTTGTAGTTCTTGAAAACAGTTTTCTGCTAAAGATAATATTCCCTTTGGAGTGGACTTTAAACTTTGTAACCTTGCAGATCTTTTTTAATGCACAAACAGCAACATTACACACTAAGTCGAGTTTGTCATTTTGTTTTGTTTTTTATGAACGCACTGATAGGGGCCCCTTTACAAAGTTTAGGGCCCCCAAGTGTAGGACCGGCACTGACCATCAACCCATACCTGTCAAGTATCCCGTTTTGGCCGGGAAAGTCCCGTATTTAACCCTTCTTTCCCGCCGTCCTCCCGTATTAGGATTTTCCTGTAAATCTCCCGTATTTTAACCTGCGTTATTGAAAAATAATAATACCCCGGGCGGAGTAAAAAAACCCCAAAACATTCCCAATCTGAGCTCTGTCACTAGCCTCGCGATAACTAACGTTACAGGTACTGTAGGTGGCAGTTGTCGCGATGTTAGTGTGTGAGGTCAGATGATGAGTGACAACGCGGGGGAAACAAAAAACAAACAAAAACAGAGATGGATGATGGACGCTATGACAGAGCAAGGTACTCCTGAGTCCTGCCAAAAAACCAAAACCCTCATGTACTAAATACCGCGATCAATGGGATAGCGAATTTACTTTTCTGAAGAGGAGCAGGGTGGGGGACAGTCACGCGTTTTGTAAGTTTTGTAACTGCGACTTTAGCATCTCACATGGGGAAGGAATGATGTATGTCAGCACGAGAAAGGGTGTTTTAGCATGGTACGAAAGATTGTTACAGAGAATAGGATGACGTTAGACAACATAGAACTGTTTGCTCTACTCTCATGTAAAATTAACCACTCTGGCCCAGCCCACAAATACACTCCTTCCAAAACAGTTAAAGTCTGCAACAAATTTGTTCAATAACTCACTAAAAGAGTAAAGAAAAGTTATGTGAAATGAAAAGAAAAACTGCAAATGAAAAGAAAAACTGTAAAAGAAAAGCAATATGAAATGAAAATGTGTGGAATGAAAATAAAATGTAAATGTAAAGACAAGCAATGTTAAATGAACAGAAAATATGCAAATAAGCCTTTAAATAAATGCTCTTAATACCCTATAACGTTACCATACATAGGCCTATTAAGACAGGTGTTATAGCCTAAATGAAAACACACACACACACACACACACGTGTGTGTGTGTGTGTGTGTGTGTTTTCATTTAGGCTATAACACCTGTCTTAAAATGTAAGGGATACTGGAGCTTGGTTGGGGTGGTGGGACTGCTCGCAGTGGGCGCCGGAAAATTTCCCTTATTTTCAAATCCAAAACTTGACAGGTATGCATCAACCCTTTCTCACTGCAATATTCCATTACAAAAAGAGAATCGTCAATTTTGATTTAATGTTAACTTTTTAGGATTTCATAAAAATTGTTGCAGATTAAAAGTGTACATTTGGAGATACAGTAACCCCCCCCCCCATAAAAAAAAAAAAAAAAAATGAAAATTGTCATAATTGACTCACCCTCATGTCATTCCAAACTTGTATGACTTTCATTTTTCCCATTTTTAAACATACAATCTCAAAGTACAATGGGACAGTAATGTTTGAAACAATAATGCCATTTCCATGTATTTATCTCTACATTACATTGCCCAACAACATTTCATCACTCTTTCCCCTCGCCTTCACTTTCCCTTGTCAGGAACGTCTCATGCTCCACATTACAGGATTGCAAATAGTTTAGCATGAGTCTATTCATTGTAAATGTAAAAATCTTTCACAGTTAAGTTTCCCTTTAGACCGCCTGACTGTTGGAAGAGAGACTTTCACGCCTGGAGCCATTAGGAGCACTGCGCTGCTTTAAAATTGCATCGTAATGGCTGGAGGCAGACAGGTTGCTTGAACAGTGGATACATTTGAGTTCTGCTGGGGGTAGAGTGCTGATGGGACATCACATGCTCACGTTTTTGAACTAAAGGCGAGGAGACAGCATGCACTCCTTGAGACGTTTTAAGTTTTTAGGTTGCATGCAGTCACAAAAGGGAATGAGACTGTATGAGTGTCATTATAGAATCCTCTGCCTCTAGACACTTTTCTTCTGGGGCATGAGCCCCAGTAATGTTTTGCTGTACCCCAGTAAAAATTTCCTGACAAATCAGTGTCTGATAAGGTACTAGGTTACAGTATACGTCTGAAAATAGGCCTTCCTATTCATTGAACGTTATCATTTACATAATTTGAATGATTTAAAACTTGAAGGGTGATTGTAATGTAATGTGATGTGAGTTTTTAAAAGCTTAGCTTAAGCTTATAATAATGCTCATAAATGGCTGTTGATATATATATTTAAACAGAGTAGAGGCTTGGACCCGGAAACAGTATTCAATACATCACAACTTAAAAATGGGATATATCTAAATGGTTATTTCAAAAGTACAAAGTGAAAGATGTACACTATGTAGTGTTCCTATATAGAAGCAAGATTGGATTATACGGAACTTCCATATTCTGTATGGCAAAATCTATTATAACTTTTGAAAGATTCCTTAGTAAAAAATGAATTAGTAGGCTACATTTGCTGGGATAGGCTATTAGTAGACCTACTGTACATGTTTTACTTATGACAACTTAAGGTTTACTTTAATAAAATGTAAGGTTAATACACACACACACACACACACACACACACACACACACACACACACTAGCAAAGTAGCAATGAAAACAAACCACTGCTTTATATGTGGCCAAGCAATGCACTGACTCGTTCGCTCTGGAACGCTCAGCCAATCAAATGAGAGGATTAGAAGAACACATTTTTGTATAATTACGCTGCTTGGGCAATCAAATTATTAGAGGACCGAAACTAAATATTGTATAATTATTATTTTATTGTTGTATATATTATATGTAAAACAGGTGTGCATATTATTATTGTTATAGTATTAAGCTGCCTGGTCTCCATCACGAATACCCAACATTTTTTTGAAAGAAAAATGGAATAAAGCTTCTTTTAATGCGGATAAGTAATAATGAATGAGGGGATGAAAGAGGGTTCATTATACAGCCCAAGATGAAATGGGTGAATGAAGCAACCGTTGACAACCACAGGGTGGCAACACACACAACTCTGCAGTTAATCACATGTTCACTGGAGCTTTGAAGTTGCCCGTGGATGTCATGTACCAACATTGTGATGGGTGCACACATAGCCATAAAAGTGCAGACCCCGACACACGGAAGCCCCGACGAGAGAACCGAGGAAAGTTGTCCGGGGCGCACAACTTATCCATATCCCACGAAGAGATGAGATCCCACCGGAGAGACGTGCCTGAACTGCACGGTTTATTTTGTTGATTAAGAAAAGTTTCATGAAGATATACAATGTTTATAAATGGGAGTTTTCTGAACAGCTCTGCACTGGACCCTAGCGAGCAAGCATTTCACCGGCCTCCCTGGGTCACTACTACTCTCGGGTGTTTCCTCATATTCACTATAGTGGTGGATATTTTAGGAAACCTGCTGGTGATTTTCTCAGTCTACAGAAACAAGAAACTAAGGAACGCAGGTGAGTTGCGCGCGCCAGCACAGGTACATTCACGTTTGACACGCTTGTCACATTTATTTCACATGAACTGCTTAAAGGTGCTGTTTCGAAGGAGACAAGAGGATATAGCCTAGATACTGACAGGCAGGATTCAGAAAGATGAGCGCGCACGTTTCTTTCCATCAAATCAACTCACCGGTTTTATTCCGAGATATGTAGCCTACATTTCGTGTTTGCCCTTAACGCTCGCTGATATACTTATTTTCTTTCAAAAGCAACTAAATTGTAGGCCACTTCAAACTACAAATGTGTGCGTGTTTTTACGCACGTCTGTTTCCAAACGTGCCATCATGTCGAAAAGGAATACCAGTGCTCACAACAATGTTTAGCCAATAAAACGTTGTTTTGGTTGATTTCGCACTAGGCTACATAGACATACCAGTGTTAATGTTACAATGTGATTATAAATACAAAGGCATACAAATGTGCGACATGTGCTTAATATCTGATTATTGAGCAACTTGTAAACACACTTCGTTAACAATGTTATGACTTTAAATTTAATATGGACCCTGTAATGCATGGTAGAGTACATCAAAGGCAGTAACTCTAGAGATGCTTCAACACATTCAGTGTCCATTCGGACGTAATGTTTTTGGAGGAATTCTGCCATTACATTTACATCAATAATACGATATTTAAATAAGCCTGGAGGTGGCATTAGTAAGGCTAGTCATAATCATATCATCATAGATTGAGATGTCGATTATAATGGACAGTGGTCTCAATGTAAACAAAAGCCTACTGTGTGCTATTGCAAAACAGCTAGATGGGATTTCAGTAATAATCCTACTACACATTATGTTCAGTCTTCATCAAATCTGAGTGCCTTTCAGACCATGTCTTATATAAAGTTATTATATAGGCCTATTTTATTTTCAAAACAATTTGCCTGTAACAGAAACGGGCAATTTTTTCAATTCTTCTTCATGCTTAGTCGAAACTTCTAAAGTAGTTTTCTTTAGTAAGATGCCAAAGTTGGAGGTGGCATGATAAATAAAAAAACTAGCTGGTCAGTGAAAGGTTGCAGGTTTGAAGCCCAGAAGGCGATCCGAGGGCCATCATTCTCCCTTCATTAAGTAGGCTATACTTGTCTACATAATCGTTGCACTTAGATTTTTATTTTGTTTTTGATGACCTTTTACCATTCAGAACAAGTAGGCTAATTGAATAGGCTAGCAGCTTTTAGACTGTTTAATATTTGTTTGTTTTTTAATTCAGTGATAAAAAATAAATAAAAAAACCACACACGCTACAATGATTGTTAATGTATTTTTTTCTAAATAATGTACAAATCCATATAATTATCTGTTAGTTGCTACTATACTGTTCAGAACCTATTTCCATTAGCCTATAATGGACGGACTAGAATAACTGTTACAAATATTTAACCGTTTTTTTTTCTGAACGGGTTAAATGAATTATTTTAGGACCCTATCTGTGTACCTGTCAGCAGTTGTACTTCGGGTCTTCCCTCTCTTTTGCTGTTTTATCTTTTGAGATTGTCTGGCTGGCACGTAGCCTATCCGAGTGTTAAACGCTGAACTGAACCTAGAGAGGCTTTTTGGCTCTGTTAGGGAAACTTAACTCGTTCGTTGGATTTGATTGACATGCTGAGCCGGATATATGGCAGTTTATTTTGGCATTCATCTAACCACATCAGTGTGAAGTGTCATGGGATTGTATTTCTTGGCATGTCAATCATAGAGTGGGAAAATAACACACGGACAGGAAACCTGTCCAACATCGTAGCCTAATATCAGCAGATAAGTGCTGGAAAACGTGACTCATACTCGTTAGAATAACATCGGACTCAAGTTAATTAAGCTTTGACCCACAATGTGGAAATTGATTTTTTTTCTCTCTATGGCGCTCATTAAATGTGTGTGGAGCGCGGATATTTGTGACGTTAGAGAAGTATGGAAAGAGCTCGACGGATATCCGCGCTCACAAGTAGCCTATGTTGCTCGCGTGCCGGTGGAGGCTGTTTCAGTGTCGAGTTCACGCGCTCCACACTGTCAGTTCCCGTGCGCCTTTGCGCTGACCGACGCTATCACAGAGATTGCACTGCAGCATGTGCGTCTGTACTTCACCAGCACAACTTGTGATTCATGCTTTCATTCATTTGGTAACAATTATAATCCCCTATTTCATTTCTAATCCACAAGAATCAAACAAATCAAAGCCTACACGTGCTTACGCAATATAGTCCATAATGTGTTGCCAAGTCATCGTAAAAGCCACATCAAATACTACACCCAAAGACGCTATGTTACTAATATCCAGTAGCCTAATTATTTAACTGGCGTAGCCTGTATAGCATAAGAGTTAGTATAAGTATAAGTGATCAATAAATCAATTGCAGACTGATAGAATTACTTGGTATTTAAAACCAATATGTAAGCCTATTTGATTTTTCTTTTGTCAGGTGGGCTTACAGGGAAGAAAGAGTGTGAGTGACAGCTATTGTATGATTGGAAGGAAGCCCCTGAGACAGAGAGTGGAAGACCAGATAGTTGTCAGAGAAGCAGAGAACAGAGCAAAGAGCAGAGAAAAAGAGTGTTTGAGAGATTACAGCCTTTCTTAAGGGAAAGATAAGAACAGTTTAGTGGGATCATGATATGATGGATGCTGTAAAATGTCTGTAATCCAAAATTCATCATTTTTTTATCAACAATTAATATGGCTAATTAATAAAAAAAAAAAAAAAATTTAAGTGCTTTATAAAATATGAATAATTTTACACGCAGTGTAAATGCACCTTACATGCCCACTCTGACTTTTCAATTTGCAATTAAATAAATTGACATTAATTGTTGTGTTTCCATGTTTTATGGGGACTGTAAGGATTTTTTTATACTATACAAATTGTATATTCTATCCTCTAACCCTAACCCTACACCTTAACCTACTCATCACAGAAAACTTTCAGCATTTTTACATTTTCAAAAAACATCACTTGGATTTAAGCGGTTTTCCTCATGGGGACCAAAAAAATGTTCCCATAACAGGGTTTAGGACCACACACACATTAACATGTAAAGCTTAGATTTAGGTGAAAATCTTAAGCTGATGAGTACTTGTCTAGAACACTTAGTATCCTTGAAAAATAATGTAATTTGTCAAATAGAGCTTATGTCAGTTTTTATTCCTTTTAAAAGGACACTTTTTTTTTTTTTTTTTGCTGAATAATCTCACAGCACAGTTTAAAAATGGCTCTTCCCTCACCTGTTTTAATTAAGTGAGGACTGGCTCACTTAAAGGTGCTACTTTTATGATGGAGTCACACCTGGATTTTGTCCAGCAGCCCGGAGGCAAACCTAGCAGAGCAGGATAAAACATGGACAATACTGGACCCCCCCTGGCCACTCTGCACCTGCTGTGCTCTCTTCACATCTGAAGCAATGCACAGAAAACACACAAACAAGTCGAACAATTACCATAAAGTCCCTGTTTGAAATTCAGAATGATCGAAGCAGCCACCACAACTGCTGGACATATGGCTGTTCTCTAGTGCCAGATGAACGAGTGACAGTGTGTGATGGGGGAGGAGTGCTGTGCCGCTGCCTGTGTGATTGCAGTGCTCACCCATAATCTGGGATGTCTCTCTCTCAAATCATTGTAAGCGGGCAATCGGAGCCTTGTTTTTAGGTCAGAGGAGGATGTGTGTGGTGTGTGTAGTCACGGAGAGCTCTTACTGTATACCACAGGCTTTAGCACACAACTCAGCTTTAGAGTATTTTTGTAGTAGGCTATTTGCACAATTGGTGCTGCTGTTCACAAGCACACTTTTACTTCTGTTGGGTGAATAGAGTTGTGTGCAGTGAAGACATGGAGTGTGGTAGTTGGATGGGGACTTTGAAACTTTTTTTATTATAATTTTTTTTTTTTTACAACAGTTTCAGTGTTCTTAATCCAATGAAAGCAAAGAAATTATAAACATTTTTTGTTGGTCATTTCTTGTCATATACTACATATGCGGCATGGAATTTGGGGTCAGTACGATTTTTTAAAAAGTTTTTGAAAGAAGTCTCATGCTCACCAAGACTGTTTATTTGATAAAAAATACAGTAAGAACAGTAATATTGTAAAATATTATTGTATTCATATTAATGTATTTTAAAATATTATTTATTCCTGTTATGGCAAAGCAGATTTTTTAGCAGCCATTACTCACACAACCCTTCAGAAATCATTTTAATATGCTGATTTGCTTCTAAAGGAACATTTGTTATTATAGTTAATATTTTTGCGGAAACCGCATTTTTTTTGAGGATACTTTGATAATTAGAAAGTTGAAAAGAACAGCATTTATTTGAAATGTTGTTAAATGCCTTTACTTCCACTCGATCAATTCCTTATTGAATAAAAGTTTTTATTTCATAAAAAAAAAATTCTTTCACTTTCAGAAATGCCCTAATGGACCTTATATATATATATATATATATATATATATATATATATATATATATATTCAGCATTTTTACATTTTCAAAAAACATCACTTGGATTTAAGCGGTTTTCCTCATGGGGACCAAAAAAATGTTCCCATAACAGGGTTTAGGACCACACACACATTAACATGTAAAGCTTAGATTTAGATTTATATATATATATATATATATATATATATATATAGCTAATGTATATATATATATATATATATTTTTTTTTTGTAGATTGGATAAATGCACTAGCAGCTGTAAGCTTTTTTTCTGCTTGAGGTGTTGGCAGTGTTTTCCCTCTGGTGTTCTCACCAATAACTAAGCCTGATATAATTTGTTTGTTACAAATTATTCTCTGTTTGTATTGGCTGACTCCTGTTTTCATTTCCGTTTTATGCTCTTTGCTATTTTGTGGCTTGGGTTTATGCACACACAACATTGATTTATTCACTTCACTTCACTGTTGCTGTTTATTTTGCTGTGGTTGTTTATTATTGTATAATTTTGATGTGCGGA